TTCTTTTGCATTAATTATGAAATTTTGTTTATAAAAAGGTTATTTTATGATAAAAATACGAATACGAAATTTTTCAGAAATATAAATTAATTGTCTTTATTTTGGCTTCATTAGTTTTTGAATCGGTTATGTAGTTCATAAGATCTTATGATTTCAAATAATCAAAAAAAATTGTTGTATCTTTTTTATGTTTTTGCGCCAAATAATTTTGCTACAGTTGAAATCAGCGTGAGAAGTTCTATCGAGACATATTTTTGGTTTTTGCATAGGCAAATGGTTATGCCAAAACGATGGCCGTGAACAATTTTTTATTTTTTTTGAACGTCTAGCAACACGCACTTAAGATATCAGCTGATATGGTAAGCTTGCTATAAAGTGTGTTTGCATTGTTCAACTTTGCGTTCAACATTGGCGTTCAACTCAGCGCAGGGTTGCACGAAAAACAAATTGAATGGCTAAAAATATCAAAATATGAAAAAATATCAAAATATTCGCCTTAAAAAGGTGTTTGCATTGTTCAACTTTGCATTCAACTTTTGGTTGAATGGCCTTTCAACTAATCGCTTTCAACAAAGTTGGTCGCCAGCCAACATTTAGCCATTCAACTTTTTTTTCGTGCAACCCTGCGTTGAGTTGAACGCAATTGTTGAACGCAAAGTTAAATAATGCAAATACTGCTTTAGTTACAAAAAGCTCGCAATGATCATAAAGGCCCGTTTACACACAACTTGGCGTTGTGTGGGCGTTGGCGTCGACAGCTGACTATGAATACGTGCATTTATATGAAAGTCTCCACATAACCAAAGTTGGGCAACGCCAACGCTAAAGCGAAACAGAAAGATGGCCAACTCTCAACTGTTCGCGTGCGTCGTTCGTCTGCTGTTCCAAATAATCAAAATTATGTGAAATAAATTTCCTTTTTAATCAAATGCGGGCAAGAAATATAGTTTTTAATGCAATTATTGATATAACATTTGGATTTATCTAGCGCTAGTATTTTAATTTAGTGACCAAAGTATTCGCTGCTAAGCGTTTATTGTAGCAAGCACAGGCATTACTCGCGCTGCTGTGAAAGCGACGCCAGCGCCAACGAAACGCCAATGTTGTATGTGGACGGGCCTTAACTCTTGGCATTGGTCGAGCTCTAAACCGGACAGTGTGCCTTAAGATCTCACACGCAGCGAATAACGAGGTTTACACGACGGCGAACATAACTGTAAGAAATCAAAAAATTTTGTTGTTTAAGAGTTTACACGATCGAACATTGATAATTATCACGCGATGTTGTTGCTGTTGTAACAGCTACAAATTCCCCAAGAGTTTTTGGGGAGTGTAGCTGGAGGGACAGCCCTTGGCCAGATATAAATCTGGGTCATTCCGGTTACGTACCCCGTTACCCCGGTAATGCCTGCAAGGTGGTAAACGGGAGCCCAAAAACAAAAATTAATAATCAGTAATATCAGACCACAATGAAAGAGTTAGCCTAGATAGATGTTTTCAGCCTATTGCGCCATCGAGAACGAAGTTGCGGTAGAGTGCACCGTGGTTCCCTCGACAATTTTCTCTCTTGCTATAAACATGTAAAATCTACGTTTGGCGTCATACTCCTTTCCCAGTTATGCAGGCATGGTTTCACAAGTCGTGGTGGGAAATCCTTTCAGAGTTGCTGTTGGGGCAATCCTCGTGGTATGCCCTGAAACACCATCGTCTGTCACCCATGGCGATTTCACCTACTATACTGGCACTCCATAGTAGAGGCACGCGATATTAACCGATGCATCGGAAACATTGATGTTTCCAATTTGATGAATCGAATAAATTCCGATATATCGATTAATGCGATATTCGCACAGGAACCATCACAACACACGCCACATTCAGACTTAATGGTTGTCTAACGTTGGATGGAATCTCGCTGATGTGCCCACGTAAAAGCTCCAAACCGACTAAGGAGGCAATGCAACTTGCAGCAAGTGCAGACCCTTCGGTAGCATCCAGCAGAAACTGCTTTCATGCAGCAAACAACGTTGTGATCTCCAACCGAAAAATCTGGGCACACTATGAAGTCATCCCGAATTGTTCTAGAGAATGGTAAGGCAGAGTATTGTCGATCGTATGCTCCCTGATTATGTCAAAGCTAGTGAAAGCCTTGCGATGTACTTCCAAAGCCCCGGTGGACAAAGACCAAATTCGATTTGCGTTTGTAATTGACGTCACTGAGATAATAAGCAAGACGTCACATGCTATATATATACTATATGTATATGTAATCAATCGGTATTTCGTGCAGTCCCTCCTCCTTTTCAGTAGGTACTTTTTGTTTCGAACAAAACGCATTTACTGAAACTTTATCAATGTAAGTTTTAATTAATTTAAATAACATTTCAGTTTTCGAAACAATTCAACACTTAATTTCCCTGCCACAAGTAATCATTAAAAGTGCCGCATTTCTATGCGCCTTTTTGTACGAAGGAACACGAAGGAAATTAAAAGTTGTTCTCGTGTCTTCAACCCAACAACTGTAGTGGAATGCCCATTTGACCCCACAAGCAAGTGCAATTTAAATAATTATGGTACATATGTATGTATGAATGTATTTTACATATATATTTGTATGAGTATAAATGTTAGGAAAACACTTTGATGTACATAAAAACATATAACAAAAATTAATTACAAAACAGGAAATTTCTCTGAAGGATGTGGAAATGAGCACAAGAAACGACGGCAATAGCAGCGAATAATGACCGTAATAATTGCAACCCTTCAATGTACGACACGGTAGCGATCACACATACACACATACATGGAGAAAACAAATGTAATATGTAACGCCAGTCCCCACTGCATCAAAACAAATTGAAATTGAAATGGCGTATGT